CACATGACATTTTCGTGACTTGGGTAACAGTGATGTGTTGCTAGATACCGCTCACTGTTTATTATATTAAATGTGTGATTTAATATAATTGCCAACGTCGCGAAAACCTATAGGGTCACACACATAAGGACAGGTTGATGAGAGATAGAATAAATAAGGAACACCGTAAGGTACGGTGCACTTAAGTGTAATACGGAAAATGGTAAGGTACCACGTGGATAAGTGATATATGGTACATCATAAGGTATGATGTCCATAAGCTTAATTGGGCTTTTAGCTTATAGCCTTAATTGGGCTTTTAGCTTGTAGCCCACACGAGTGATTCTATAAATAGATCCCTTGTGATGAAGCAATTTCACTTGATGCATTTTCGTTTTTGACTCTCTCTCTCACTCAAGGTTTCCGTTCGTGATCAGCTAGCACTGTGACCGGAAGCGATCTGTTCGTGTGGAATGAGTAGAGGCGTTGTTCTTCATCAACGCTCGTGATCACAGCATCAAAGTTCTGAATCGCCACAAGAGGTAAATATTTCTATCACTGACCATGCTCATTCGTAAGGATCGCTAAAGGAAAATTTTTATATTCCGCTGCGTTTTGTTCGCAATTTTCCTTCAGTAAGCACACATTGTTCCTCCCTAATAAGTTCAACAACACATGTATCCAAAAAAGGAACTTGATTCCTGTTTAGTAAACACCTCTGACAACCTCAAATTCCTGACGAAGTTTCATGAGAAATTGATCTCGTCCACTTGTGTTATAGACCTCTTGAAAAGCTGTGAGAGAGGTCTTGGGAACATTAGCATGTATAATAGAAGAGTGTCTTGTCCATGGATTCAAAAAACCATAATAGTATTCTTGAATAGCCAAATTACCTTGTTTGTAATTGTCTATGTCTAGCTCCAACTGAAAACTTTTTTCCGAATTGTCTTGGTTGTAAATGCGCTTTAAATAACTCCATATTTTTCGTGCAGCTGAAGAAGAGCGCACATTATTAATCATTTGAGGATCATTACTACTGAGAATCCAGGTGATGATTTGAGCATCTTTAGTTTCCCATGCATCTAAAGCAGTTTTCTCTGTCGGTGCCTTAGAGACATCATCTAGGTGACTTCATAATCCCTTTCCTTTAATATACATCTTGAACTGAAGTTTCCATGCAGAATAATTTTTGTCGATAAAACGGACACACAAATTATCTCTTTCTTTTTCAAAAGCCAACTGAAATTTGTGCTACTAGATTCTACCTCACAAATTATATTATTATAATAATTAATTATTATAATAATGATTAATTGTTATAATAATGAAGACCAAAGTGATGAAATCACTTAAGAAACATCAAACCACGTACAACAATAAAGAATATCTTGTGCAGCTTTCACCAATGGATTAGAAACGGCAAGCCCATCGAACAGGAACAAAGTACAAAATCCAACACTAAGAAACACGAGTGCGGTGTAACAAAGAACAATATCTATTACTAAGAAACACGAGCGACAACCACGAAACACGAGCAGTAGAATCAAAAAACCAAGAATTAAACGATTCAGAATCACGATTAGTGAAAGAACCGCAAAGGAAAACCATCCCTAAATCCAAAAGATAATTACGACGACAACTATAAGAATTTGCACGAAACAAATTCCGTGGTGATCAATCAGGATTGGATGAACAATAAACGTCGAGCGACCAGAATGTTGTCGCAGTAGAGAAAAAATGACAAACACGATCAGAACCAAAAGTTCACAAGTATGATCGACAAGGCTGATACCATGTCAGGTAAATTGGCTTGATGCCTTTCTCATTGTTATTTATTGTATATATAGAGGTCACACGGCTATACAGGTAATTACACTAAATAATTACATTTAATGAGAACAAATCAATTTTTGATTTGTTTCCATTATTCTAGGAACAAACCCTTATTCTTAGAACAAACTAATTCCTATTCACATATATACCCCTTACATATGTCAATAATAAAGTTACAATTTTCACACTCAATAATCAATCTCTATCATTCTTTCCCTATCTCCCTCTCCATATTGAAAATCACAATTATTGTGGTTTCTTGTTCCAACATTTGGCATAAAGCCTAGTTCAATCAATAATACTTTTCATTTTCAATGAACGAATCCCTCTCAATCTCTAAATTCTCGATGCAAAGAATTGCAATAAGGGGTGAAAATAGATGAAGGTGTTTTTTGGTTATCAATATGTTCTTGAAGTGATTAAGAACGGTGTTACTCCACTTGTAGAGGGTGCAACGGTTGCACAAAGGACTACCCATAAGTAAGAGAAGACAAAATATTACAAGGTGTTGTATTTGATTCATCAATGTGTTGTTACAGATATTTTTTAGAAGGTTGTTGATTGCACAACCTCAAAGGAAGCTTGAGAAATCATGAAGAAAAGTTATGCAGAAGATGATAAGGAAAAGGTGGTGAGGTTACAAACTCACAAGAGGCAGTTGGAGTTGATTCATATGGAAGAAAATGAAATAAATAGTGAATTCACGACGAGAATCACAAGATTGGTGAACCAACTAAAGGCGTGAGGAGAAACAATCATAGAGCAGTATGTGTTTGCAAAAATATTTCATTCTTTGATGTCAAGATATGACAATGTAATAACTGTGATTGAGGAATCGAAGAATCTTACGATAATGAGCAAGGTAGAGCTTCAGGGCTCTCTTGAAGCTCGTGAGTAAAGAATAGAAGAAAGGAATAATGATAAGGAAAAGGCAGAGATCTCTTTTCAATCTTGTTTTAATGATAAAGACAATAAGGCGAAGGGAAAATGGCCCATGAACAAAGGTAGAGGAAACTTTCAAAATTTTGGTGGAAGAGAATCCCGAAACTCTAAAAATTCAACATTAAAAAAGTTTAAATGCAGTGGCATTATAGCTGATGGATCATACAACTCTAGAAGTTACAACATTAAAAGAACACGAGGAATAGAGAAAGGTGAAAAAAGTAATATGCAATGCTTTAGTTTTCAAAAGTTTGAACATTTTGCAAGTGAATGTAGTGCCAACAAGAAAGAACCTCAAGAAGATGAAGCTAGAGTAACAAGAAAAGAGTATGATGATAAGAACACACTATTAGTGATGATGACTAAAGAAGAATGCAGCGGTAGGATATTACAAGATAGTTGTAAAAGGTTACAGCAGGTCATCAGAGAAGGATATAACCAGTTACTTATACATTGTAACAAGTTACCAACAGAAGAAAACATTATGGCGACTATGAAAGAAACTCTACAATGCATAAATCAATGATATTTAGATTTCGTATGTTCACCACACATGACGAGAAGAAAAGATAGATTTGTTACCATCAACCGTGCCATGAAGAGCAAGATAAACTTCATGGATGATATCACTCTAGCAGCAGAAGGGATCGATGACACATCGATCAAGAGAAGGGGTGTTAAACATTCTTTGATAAAGGATGTGTTGTATATTCTAGAAATAAAGTGTAACCTTCTAAGTATTGACTAATTACATAAGAAGGGTTACAAGATTCATATGGAGAACAAGAAGCTACGAGTTATGGATATAAATATATTTTTGGTCCTAAAGACTCCTATAGATCCTAATAGAACTTTCACGGTTGAATTGAAGGTAATGGAGTATAGGTGTCTTGCTACAGTGGCAAGTATAGAAGAGTTGTTATGTCGAAGTGCTGTCAAGAACAAACCAAAACTATGAGAAAAATTAAGTTTCTTGAACAAACACAAGAAACCCTATTACCGTTTCACAAAAGAGAGAGAAGAGGGAAGAAGAAAAAATTAAGATTGGTTGTAACTATTTTTCTATTCACTTTCTCTATTAGAGTTTATATTTTTTTAATAGGCAATGATATTATAAGTGAATAACAATAATCAACCTCTCTCAACAACAGAGAGAACTAGCTTATTTATAAACAACAAAAATCAGATGATGTGGCATTGTCAAACAAATATTGTGGGTCTCAGATTTAATATAAATAATAATAATAATTTATTTTATTTAAAATTGTAATATATAACTTATTTGTATATATTACTATATATCCTGCCAACCCACTTATCGCTATAATATTTCAAAAATTTAAGTGTAAGATTCAATTCTAAATAAATTTAAAATAGAGCAACAACATTGCAAACACTAGAGTTATCAAAATAGGTTAGTTTGTATGGATCGGCCGGTCAGCCCAAAAAATATTAGGGCTTGAGTCTTTAAATCAGAGCTTATATTTTTGGGTTATTTTAGCCCGACCCTAAAAAGTCTGTTACCTATTAGGATTAGACCGTATTGGATCGTGGGCAGTTCATTAGGCATACATATTTATAAATTTTAAAAAATTATATTAATTTTTATATTGTGTTACTCTAAAATAATACATTGATTTTTTCTCACTTCGCTAAATTTTGTCTCTATTCTATTCAATCTTTCTCTTTTAAATATTATACATTAATATAAATAACACTCTTTCTTTGTATTTTATTAGTTTCTCTTAGGTTAAATATTCGAGTATTATTTTATACAATTTAGACATATATTACATTTAAAAATATATTATAGTATTAATAAAAGATAATATATTATTTTTATATAGATTTTTTATTTTAATTTTTTTAATAAAAAAAATCCATTTAAGAAGTAGACTGAAGCACATTTAAGGCCGTACTCGGGTAGTAATTTTCAAGCCTAATAATTATAGCCGAGCTTTTTTTAGCCGAGTCCTTAAAATTCCCACTAACATAACGCATCATGGGCGGGCTTGAAAATGAAGATAATTCTCAATAATGTATTCCATGTGGTTAGGCACTTAAAATTCTCTTAACTTAATTTGGTCATCTTTGTTGAATTAAAGTTGGCATTAGAAATTAAATTTAAGTTATACTGTATATTGAATTTCTCTATAAGTAATTCTGTTTCCTTCCTTGTCATTCATGCACCCTTTCTTGTCTTTCAGTTAAATTTTGCATTGTATTCAAAGCTAAATCATTCATCTATGGGGTGTTTGCTTCTTTGTTTATATCTTTTTCTCTTTCATTTTCCTTCTTTTCTCTATTCTTCTTCTTTGAATTTCTTATGCCACCATGATGAGAGTGTTGCTTTGCTTCAATTGAAGTCTTCATTCACTTATGATACTATGAAGACTGCAACATGGAAAAATGGAACTGATTGCTGCTCCTGGCATGGTGTCAAATGTGACACCCTCTCTCGTCACGTGACTGAACTCGACCTTTCCTATGAAGGCCTTGATGGTATTTTACATCCTAACAATTCCATTTTTCATCTTGTTCACCTCCAAAACCTCAACCTTTCTGCAAATTTTTTATTTGCCTCCAATTTCCTTTCTATGTTTGTTGAGTTTATGAATCTCACACATCTTGATCTGTCTTATTGTAACCTTGAAGGTGAGGTTCCTCCTCAAATCTCACACCTTTCTAAATTAACATCACTTCGTCTCTCTTACAATTATGGGTTAGTTTGGAAAGAGAGCACATTGAAGAGGCTTGTGCAAAATGCAACAAATTTAAAGGAGATGTTTTTGGATTACACAGATATGTCTTCAATAAAAATAAACTCCTTTGATTTGCTCTTCAATCATTCTTCCTCTTTGGTTACACTTAGTCTTCAAAATACGGGATTAAGGGGAAACCTCAAAAAGAGAATTATCTGCTTACCATCTATTCAAGAACTATATATGTCAGGTAGTTACATTGAAGGCGAACTTCCTCAATTTAGTTGCAGCCCTTTTCTTAGAATTTTGGATTTTTCATCTGGTGATTTCGAAGGACCAATTCCTCTTTCATTTTCTAACCTCACACATCTTACTTATCTAAGCCTCACAGGAAACTACCTTAATGATTCAATCCCATCCTCACTTTTAACCCTTCCACGTCTAACTTTTTTATATCTTGAAAACAATGAGCTGAGTGGTCAAGTCCCAGATGTGTTTTGCAACTCAAACAAATTTAAAGAAATAGATTTGAGTGAAAACAAAATTAGTGGCAAGCTTCCATCATCACTTTCAAATCTTCAACATCTCATTCACTTGGATCTTTCATATAATTCATTTAGAGATCAAATCCCAAACGTGTTTGGTGGGATGAGAAAACTACATCAAATTAGTCTAACTTTTAACAAATTAAGAGGAAAAATTCCATCTTCGTTATTTAACTTGTCTCAACTTGTTAAATTAGATTGTTCTCATAATAAATTAGAGGGTCCCATACACAAAATTACAGGTTTCCAAAAACTAACTTATTTGAGTTTAAATGACAACCAACTAAATGAAACAATTCCTTCTTCCTTGTTATCATTGCCTTCTTTAGTAACTTTAGATTTGTCAAATAATCACTTTACAGGACTTACTAGTGGAATCTCATTATATTCCTTAAAGGAACTATATTTATCTAACAATAAATTTCAAGGTAATATTCCAGAATCAATTTTCAATCTTACAAACTTAACTACTATAGATCTATCAACCAACAACTTTAGTGGTGTTGTTGATTTTCAACATTTTTCTAAACTTCAAAATTTAGATTCTCTTTCCCTTTCATATAATGGTCAATTATCATTAAACTTTGAATCCAATAGCAATTATACCTTTTCTACACTAACTGAATTGAAATTGTCTTCATTGGGTTTAAATGAGTTTCCCATGTCATCATTGAAATCCTCAAGTTTGAAATACCTTGATCTATCTAATAACAAACTTAAAGGAAGTCTTCCCAATTGGTTACCGAAAAGTATGTATTACTTCGGATTTTTGAACCTTTCTCAAAATTTGTTAACATCAATAAATCAAATCTCAAGGAATAGTTACATGCTCGGTGGCCTTGATCTTAGTTTCAACTTACTAAATGGTGAACTTTCTCCATCAATTTGTAATATGAGTTACCTTAACTTTCTCAGTATGGCACACAACAAATTGACAGGTATTATTCCACAATGTCTTGCTAATTCACCATTCCTTCAAGTTTTGGATTTACAAATGAACACATTTTATGGAACTCTGCCAAGTAATTTTCCTAACGGCAGTATACTTCATACTTTGAATCTTTATGGCAACCAATTAGGAGACCGTGTGCCTAAATCTTTGTCCAACTGCAGAAATTTACAAGTTTTAAATCTTGGCAGTAACAAAATAGAAGATCATTTTCCTTATTGGATTCAAACTCTGCAAGATTTCAAAGTGCTGATTTTGCGAGACAATAAATTTCATGGTCCCATTGATAATACTAAGGTCAAGTATCCATTTCCAAGTTTAATCATTTTTGATATCTCAGGAAACAACTTTAGCGGTCCTCTACCAAAAGGCTATTTAAATTTTTTTGAAGCCATGAGGACTGTTGCTCAAGTGGAAGAGAATAGCATTTTTCAATACATGGACACAAACATAATGAATGATACACAACAATACTATGATTCTGTGACTGTGGAGACAAAAGGGAAGAAAATAACACTGGTGAAAATTCCAACAATCTTTGTAATTATTGATTTGTCAAGAAACAAATTTGAAGGAGAGATACCAATTGTTATTGGTGAGCTTCACACACTTATAGGGCTTAACCTATCCCATAATAGACTCAGCGGTAATATTCCACAATCCATGGGAAACTTGACAAGCTTGGAATGGTTGGATCTCTCATCCAATATGCTCACTGGTATTATTCCTTCAGATTTAACGTATTTGAATTTTCTTGAAGTCTTGGATCTTTCCAATAACCATCTTCTGGGAGAAATACCTCAAGGAAAACAATTCAACACATTTTCAAATGATTCATACGAAGGAAACTCGGGGTTATGTGGATTACCCTTGTCCAAGAAATGTGGACCTGAACAACAATCTCCACCTTCACCCGACAAGCTTTGGAGTGAAGAGAAATTTGGATTTGGATGGAAACCAGTGGCAATGGGATATGGATGTGGATTTGTGTTTGGAATAGGCCTTGGATATTGCATGTTTTTATTTGGAAAGCCAAGATGGCTTGTGATGATATTTGGTGGCCAACCTAAGAGGAGAGTGAAAAGAAGAACAAGAGTGAGGATGACCAATGGTTCAACCATGAATCAGATGATACAAATGTCATAGTTTTATTGTTGTGCTACTTTTTCTATTGTGTTAGTTGTTATTTTCTATTTAAAATAAGTTTGATCATTTTTGTTTGGTAAGCTACTTTGATTTTGTATTGTAAGTTTCATTTTTGTTTGATAAACTACTTTGATTTTGTATTGTAAGTTTTCCAATGTTGTTGGTTTTCTGTTAATGTTGTATTTATTTTATTTTAATTTACATAAAGATTTGAGAAATACAATATTAATAAGGGTCAGTGCTACTAAATAGTTGGTGTGATGATGAAACTTTTATTTTATTTTTATAATAATAAAATAATAAGAAACTTTAACTTCAAGTTTAGTAATGAATTGATGAAATCTCAACTAAAATAGTAAATGAAGATGGTTTTTGCATGTGTCTCTCTTGACTGTTTCTTCACTATTATGGATAAGATCTTTAACAGTTGAAAATAATATAAAATTATGCGGGATTAAGTGTTGTTGTGTAGTGTTTGGTTGTATATGTGTAACTTCAAATTATTTATAGAAACCATTGTATCACAACGGTTGTTCCAAAAAACTGTCGTGCTATATAACCGGTGAAGTTTTCTGTCTAAGTAAAAATTTTAATCTTACTTTTATAATTTTTCTCCATTTTTAACCTGTATTTTGTGGATCATATCACAACAGATCAATCTCAACTGAACAGATAATTTGCATTTGTGACATAATAATAATAATAATAATAATAATAATAATAATAATAATAATAATAATAATAATAATAATAATAGTTGTATCATAATAACAATAAAAATTGGATTAAGAACCAAAAATTGTATATTACTTCAAAACTAAAATGTCATAATTAAAACAGCGTCCAGTTTACACATTACAAAACATCGTATAAATGTATCTTGGTGTTTTAGTTTCATGTCTCTAGGTGTCTTTGTCTCTTGGTGTCTTGTCTCTTAGTGTATTGACATATAAATACCTATGATTTCAAATAATCATACTTGCATTAGTAAAAATACGTAGAAATTATATTTGAACATATTTATCCTTTTTTTAAAATAAAACAATATGCTTCATCACATGTACCCGCAGTTTTGTTTTTTACGTTGTGAAAGCTTCGCCATGAAAAGTGTTATTTGTAGTAGTGAATATGGAAGATCAAAGAACACAAACCTCTTTTTCCATATGTTTTTCTCAACTGGCCCTTTTTCTCTCTTTCCAAAGACAACATTAATGTATTCCTGTCGTTGATAAACTTCATCCCCATTTAAAGGTTTAGGACCCATATCAAACTCTTTATCTCCATTAAAAGCTTTCCACAATCTACGATAAGGATGATCGAGTTTTAGAAATTTCTGATGTCCAAGGTAAACAGTCTTTTTTCTAAACTCAAGTTGGTGATAACAGGTATCAGATTCACATATAGGACACGCTTTATGTCCTTTGACACTATATCTAGCCAAATTACCATAAGCAGGGAAGTCGTTGATTGTGCAAAATAACATTGCACGCATCTTAAACTTTTCCCCATAATATGTATCACCAATTTCAACATCTTTATCCTACAAGTCATAAATCTTCAATTAATGGAGCAAGATAAACATTTATGTCGTTACCAGGTTGTCGTGATCCAGAAATCGTCATACTTAACAAAATATACTTACGCTTCATGCACAACCAAGGAGATAGGTTATAAATAGTGAGAAGAACAGGCCACGAAGAATGATTAGTGATAAGATTAACAAAGGGGTTCATTCCATCAGTGGCAAGCCCAAGCATAAGATTTCTTGGCTCAATTTCAAAATTCAGAAACAACGAATCAATTTTCTTCCATTACAAAGAATCAACTACATGGAAAATGTTTCCATCATGTTTCCTTTCATCTGCCTGCCATCTCATATTCTTTGCGTCACTTGAATTAGCAAAAAGTCTCTTAAATCGTGAAATTATTGTCAAGTACCTTAACACTTTAGCTGGAGGATGCTTCCTACTAACATTGTCATAGTCATTGTCACCACCATTGTTGGCATTCATCTTGTAACGCGACACACCATATTTCGGACATTGCTTCAAGTCTTCGTACTCTTTCTTGTATAATATGCAACTATTAGGGCATGCATGTATTTTGATATACTCCAAATCCACTGGACACAATATCTTCTTGGCCTCATAATAATTATTCGACAAATTGTTATCTTCTAGTAACATTTACTTTAGAAAATCAAGTTATTCCATGAAACTTTTATTCGACCATCCATTTTTTCCTTCAGATTAAAAAACTTTAACACTGCACACAATCATGTAAAACTCGTGCATCCTGTAATAGGGTGGGAGAACTGACTTGGGTGTTTTGCGTTTGATCTCAATGTTGCGGATAGAAAGAGTCGCCACCGACTTTTCTTTTATCCAATAAAGAAAGGGTGAAAAGAACAGGAAATACCTTTCGAGATTATTTTTTGAGTTCGGGGGGTAGGTTATAAAAAGGTAAGGTATTAGCATCCTTTTCATCTGTAGTTATCTATGAGCTCTTAGTTGCTTGCTAGATCACTTGATTTTGTTTTAAAATGTGCTTGTGGTGTGGGTTTTGAAAGTATTTTGAAAACGTCTTTGTAATGGATCTCATTTTTGTTTGATAAGCTACTTTGATTTTGTATTGTAAGTTTTCAAATATTGTTGGTTTTTTGTTAATGTTGTATTTATTTTATTTTAATTTACATAAAGATTTAAGAAATACAATATTAATAAGGGTCAGTGATACTAAATAGTTGGTGTGATGATGAAACTTTTATTTTATTTTATTTTATTCAAGTTTAGTAATGAATTGATGAAATCTCAACTAAAATAGTAAATGAAGGTGGTTTTTGCATGTGTGTCTCTTGACTGTTTCTTCACTAGTATGAATAAGGTCTTTAACAACGGTTGAAAATGATATAGAATCATGCGGGATCAAGTGTTGTTGTGTAGTGTGTGGTATTATATGTGTAACTTCAAATTACGATTCAAGGACTGTTATAGAAAATTAGAAAGCGCACGTCCTATCACAACGGTTGTTTCAAAGAACCATTGTGATATACATATAGGTCCATGGTTCGATTCTCAACAGCTTCATTTTGGTATTTATATTATTCTGGACAACGCGTGAGATATTATAACGGTCGTGTTATATAATCGGTGAAATTTTCTGCTGAAGTAATAAATTTAATCTTACTTTTATAATCTTCTCCATTTTTAACCTGTATTTTGTGGATCATATCACAACAGATCAATCTCAGCAGAACAAATAATTTGCATTTGTGACATAGTTATCATCATAATAATAATAATAATAATAATAATAATAATAATAATAATAATAATAATAATAATAATAATAATAATAATAATAATTGTATCATAATGACAATAAAAATTGGATTAAGAAAAAATAATTGTATATTACTTCAAAACCAAAATGTCATAATTAAAACAACGTCCTGTTTACATATTATAAAACATCGCATAAATGTATCTTGGTGTTTTGGTTTAATGTCTCTAGGTGTCTTTGTCTCTTGGTGTCTTGTCTCTTGGTGTATTGACATATAAATACCTATGATTTCAAATAATCATACCTACATTAGTAAAAATACGTAGAAATTATAACATACAATTAATTTATTATGAATTAATAATAACATACTTGTTAATTTTCCTATATGTCTTCTTCATGACCGATTCGAATAACATGCACAACATCTCCATCGACTTCATAATATGAGGTAGGAACTTGTGTTGTATAATAAGAAGTGGACGGAATATCAAGACTTTCATCACTAAGAGGAATGCGCTTTCCTTGGAGAATGATTGACCATTTCCCCAATATGTCGGAAGAGTCAGTCACATAGAATACTTGTTTTTGCATCACATCAAGACAATGTTTAACATCAAGACTTGACCAATCACTACTACAAAAAACACATCTAACATCGGATACGAAATGCGTTTTATGTCGGTAATGGAAACGAGGTAAATAAAGTCGTCATAAAAGGTTACATCTTATCACCTCAGATATTAAAATCCCGAGGGGACAACATGTGGGTTCGATTCCCATCATCGTCATTTTTATTATTTCTAGAACTGAATGGCACGCCATATATTAACACTCAATGTTTTGTAGAACCGAGGCGACATGTCAATATTTTTACCTCGATTTATTATAGAAACAGATGGGTTAAAATTTTTTTTCATACTGTCGTATGCACCTGAATTACATAACCATATTATAGAATACAAAATCATATTTTACCAATTCCTCAACTGAAACAAAAATATTCATTGATTACACTAAAACGCAAACCCAAAATGGCACACAGTTTATAACTTTACATTAAACTAAAATAAGTGATTAAGAAACAAAAGTAATAAACCGTTTACTTACTAGTTTTCTCATATGCCCTCTTCATGATCACGACGAATAACATGAACATCATCTAAATCATTTTCTTCAGATGATTGATGTACACATGTTTCTAAACAAGGAATCTCATAGTGAAAATCTTGATTTTCATTAGTACTATCGGGAAGATGTTTACCTTGAAGAACAATTGACAATCTAGTGTTTTCTAGATCAGTGACATAAAACACTTGTTTTTCCATGATGAATGGTTCGTGCTTATAAGTTTTATTTCGAAGATCAATCCTTGTGAATCCTAATTCATCGATTTCTACTCCAGTTTTACTATCAATCTACCTGCACTTAAATAAAGGCACTTTAAAAGAAACATAGTCAATCTCAAAAATCTCCTAAATGATCCCAAAGTACGTTCTAGATTCTAGTATTGGATTGTTATCTTTGGAACTCAAAAAGTACATGGATTCAGCCTCAACCATAATACCACTATTCTGCATTGTGCTACGATCCTCCTTTAATTTTGTGTAGAATGAATATTTACTAATGTCGTATGCACTCCAAGTAATTACATTAAACTTAAGCAAATGTTACAACCATTTACAATTATCAGATGCACCACTCTCTTTAGAAATACT